CCACAGTGGACGAACACCCGGAGTTATGGTCTGGGGCGCCATAGCATATCATAGACGATCTCAATTGCTACGAATTGTGGGCAATCTGAACAGCAAACCGGTATATCCGTGAAGTTCTACAGCCCGAAGCTGTTCCCTTCCTTCAAAGCTTGCCAGGCGCTGTATTTCAACAGGACAATGCCCGCCCTCATACTGCTCGGATTGTTAAATCCTTCTTTGCAGTGCAGCAGGTACAGCTTCTTCCTTGGCCTGCGTGTTCCCCGGATATGTCGCCAATTGAACATGTGTGGGATGTCATTGGTCGGCGTCTTGCTCGTGATCCTCGTCCTGTTGCGTCTGCAGACGAACTTTGGGTACGCGTACAAACGATATGGAATGCTCTTCCTCAGTCAGACATTCAAACTTTGTTTGACTCCATGCCACGTCGTGCAGCAGCACTTATTGCGGCGCGTGGTGGCCACACAAAATACTGATTCTGATCTCTTGTTCTTGTTTGTTTGCTTTGAACATTTAATCATTTATTTGTACCACTACCACTCAACTGTGTATTAAATTGCATTCAATTATGACGATTCCTTCTTGGTGTTGCAATTTTCACAAACGTGAGTGTATTATGAGCATATGTATGAATGTTTATAATAACATAGTTGCAGTAACTGCTGAAGTATAGTAAACTTCCAAAAATGGTTGTGTTTTAACACAGATTAGTTTTCTAAGGATTAATATTCGGAGTGACTTACATAAAGGGAAAGTAATCGAATAGTCAAAATAATTTCATTTTTTTAGCCAATACATTATACAGTATGAAGATTGGGAAGTTCTCCCCTTTCTCCGCAAATCTTTAATATTGAAACTGTTACAGTTCGCTGCAAAACAAGCAATGGACCCCCCCCCCCCCCTTTTTTTTTTTTTTTGGGTCACTTTTCAACCTGGATTGAATAGGACTAAAAGTTCTGCAGTCTACCAACCCAAGCGAAGAATGATTCTATTCCGGAAATTTAACACTGTCTGTTGAAAATTAGAATGAAAAACACCCCAGTTATTTAGTTCTTTATTCTCCCAATATACCGGCAGCTGTTGATTCCGATTGCGTAATATCACGTAGGGAAGAATTACGGTGCACGTATTGTGCAATAACGTTTGCGATATTTTGCAGAGATAATTAATTTTGATGTTCTGTCCGAGATTTGTTTATGAACACTTAAAAGAGTTTTACTGTGCTTGCTAAGCAGAATATTTTTCAGTTCCATTGGTTTATTTTTATGTGATGCACATATCAAAATGTCAAAAGCATTTATTTAGCGTAAAAATCTAAAGAGCGGCTACAGTCTATCCCCCCTTCCGCTCCTCTTTTTCAAGTTACGCTCGACTGTCCAAGTATGCGGGTTATTTAAGCTTTTACTGTTAAAGGATGACTGCATGAAGCAAATTTCTGTCTTCTGATTTCAGAAATGTTCCTCTTTTTTACTTAAATTACTTTGCTTGCAATATCTGTTAAGGGAAAACTGATATACAATGAAAATTTAGAAAATGTTCAGAATTTAGATTTAAATTATTTAAATATCAATATGAGTGGAAAAATAAATTGTATTTATTATTAGGTTCCAAGCAAATACAATAAATATTCCTTATTATTATTTATTTTCTCTATTTTGAACTGAAATTTCATCATTAAATCTTGTAATATAGTTTAGTTCTGCATTGTTTTTTTTTCCTCTCAATGTAAACTAGTTCTGTAAATTGAACTGATATTTAAAATTAAAAAAAAAAAAGTAATTATTTTCCATGGTTGAGGTAATGCTTATTCTCTCTTAATAAATACTGCATTTCTCATTATTTAAATTATAAGTCTAATTTTTAAGGTTGTGCAGTTGTGTATAATGTAATTAGACAAGTGCTTATTTTTTTTCTTAAAGTGTGCTTGAAAAGTGCTTATTTTTTTAACTAAAATGTGGCTATGAACCCTGTTTAATCACATAAGCATTGCAAAGACAACCTTTATTTGAGATAAGACATCCTTATAGTAATCAGACACCTCGTAATATGATCTACAAAAGGCCAAGTAGATCTCTCAAGTGATATTCCTTAGGTCAGACACAAATAAACACATCGATTCGAATGGTGCCTCTCAGACACCGTGCTAGTTATCGCATCACATGCAGTCGTGCCTAAGAGGCACCACTCGAGTGCAAAGGGTTAACAGCTTGAGTATATTTAGCATTTTGATCTTACTGGTATATGATGAAAGAGAGAGAAGATACCTCTGGAGATCATTATCTTTTGTTTGCTTTTTTTTTTTTTTTCCCCCTATGTTCTTTAGTTTAGGACTTTTCAACTGTGGGAGGAATTTAATAGTTTCAGAGAGGAACAGAGTCAGCCTTTTATTTTCCTGCTATGTATTTACTTTTAGTTTATAAATATAAAACCTTCCTCCCCCTCCCCTTCTAAGTGTTGGTATTTATCAATATTTTCTATACTTTGTCTAGATAATTTATAAAACATATTTAAAATTATCTAAATTTAAATAAATGTATGTGTATTTTTCGAGTTTTGGAAAAGTGAAGGGAATGAACATCTAGCACTGGTGAAAGGGGTGCATGGAGCAAAAAAGGTTGAGAATTCCTACTTTAGTATATTGTATAGAATGAAACTGATAGGCATCTCCCTTAAAAGAAATTTTAAAAATGTAAAAAGACTTGGATTTGAGAGTTAGATATGAATATTGTAGAAATTACTTGTAACAACTTGTTAAAACTCCTCTTCCACGCTCCATTCTTGATGGTTGCATAATTCCTTAAGAAATTTATTAACTAATTAAATATTTGCTAGTCTTATAAATTAGTATAAAACTTCATTTTAAAAGAGATATCTAATTTGCTAAATGTGGTTTTAAGTAATTTAAAATTACATAATATTACTTAGTGTGTAAAAACTCTAATTAGGAGTGCACAGTGATATTAATCATCATCTAAAGATGAAGAAATATCAATGGAGTCCTATAAATATTTAATTTTTAATGTAAAGTAGTTTTGATTTATTATTAACATTTTGCATTTTAATCTTTTTTTCCCTGTTAAAATACTCTCACAGATAGGGCCCGGGTTCAAATCCCAGAGAAGACAACGACGTTTGTAAATTTATAGTGTCGGTTCGGCATGGCAGCATTCTAAACATGCAGCAAGCCAAAAGTCCTCTCGTGTGGATTGGTGAAAGGGGAGCAGGATGGAAGACCCCTGGATCCCTCCTGGGGTGCTCTCTCTTAAAATGGGGTGGAAAATAGAAGTCCAACCTCTCTTCAGAGTAGGCTGTAGCAATCATTGTTCCATGTAATGGATAAGATAACAACAAAAATTCTCAAGGATAAAATGATTGTGGTCTTTTTATCATTAGATAAAGGAAAGAAACAAAAGTTATTCATCTTCCATTTCTGAATGTTTTATGAATACAAGTTTCTAGTTTAAAGAATTTAAATTTCACACTTTGCCATTTTTAAGTATTTTTATCAATTTTGCAGATTAGTTTTAAAAAAAAGTATAAATTGTTCTATTTTGAACCAAAAGATCCCTTTAAAAGCATAGAGCCATATTTTCTAATTGTACATATTTGCATCGGCTGGTCTAATAAAAGATATATGTAGCACTGTTAACCTACATCAAAATCATAAAAAGAAGGAAAAGCAATTTCTGTTATTGATCCATAAAATAACTAATGAATTTAGTTTCTATCTGTAAGAACTGGTTATAATATTTATAAAAAATTAAATTGTTTTAAAGTAGTACTTTTAACAAGAATAATAATCATTCTAAAAAATAATAATTAATTTGCAATTATGTAATAAAATTTAACTCATAGAGAGAAAAGTTCCATCAAATAATTTATATATAGCCCCCTCATTTCATAATGCTTCTTTTTCTTTTAACAAGTGAAACCTGTGTATTTGACTGATACGTTTTGATATTGTATCTTTTGACCAATTTCATCATACATTTTACTGTTTTCTACTGTATTTAGGTATTGGATTCGGTATAATGTTTCTTTCTAAGCAAAATGTGTATGCAAGCTAAAAAAGGTGAAGATTTGCATATGATTATTTTTGATTTTCAATAGTGTTTTCTTTCCTTTTCTGTCAAATAAGTATAGGCTGCCTGTTACCTTTTTAGCTTGTAATTTATTAGATCTCTTTCTTCAATATATTTCTTTTTCATCTTCCAGTATTTTAGATTTCAGAGTGAAAAAAATCTCTTTATATGGGTGTTTATTTCCATACTTTCCTTCCATGCATATATTTCTTAATCATCTTCCAATATTTGAGTTTTTGAGTTAAACAATTTCTCTTTAAACGTATATAGTATTGATTTGCATTTTTTCCTTCCTTTTCTCAGTAATTTTACTACTTGAAAACTTTGAGGGGGGAATGGAGTGTGCTGTTTCTAAAGGAACACATTAAATGATACATGCACGCTAAAAAGCACACATAAAGACAAACTCATGTTATTATGTTATGTATTTCAAAGGAGTTATCATTTTAATTAATTTATTTTTACTTAAGCAAAATTATATTCTTAAAAACTAGGGGAGAAATATGGGAATAAATATGGTGAAAATTTTTTTATTTCCCTAATTTTTTAAAATGTGAATTAGTAGTTCTTAACTTTCTTCATTTTCACATATTGCACTGAAGTACTTTGTATACAGTATTAATCTGGTGAAGCTGTGTAAAGCTTTTCTTCTATTAACTGTATTTCTTTTGCTGATAAATTAAGTTAAATAGATTTAAGTATTTTTACTGCTAATTTTATATTAACATGTTATAGTCAAAATCAGATATAATTAGAACATCAGTTTATTCTATGATACATTTAATTATATATTTTAAAACTAATGTAGCATTTTTTTAAAATGATTATTGTATCTTAAAACAAAATATTTTTCATATTTGTTTAAGTTTCTGAAAGATTCAAGTATTTTATTCTTAGTTCTTTTTCATTTTTGTTTTGTAGATGGGTGGAGGCCATTAATATGTGTACTTTAACAGAAGAAGAAACTACACGGCTGTGACAAGCGTTTAAATTTTCGTGGAAGCATCTGTGATTCAGATTTTATTCTATGCTGCAAATGTTTAAACTTTGTTTAGCAGCATTTAAAATATGAGAGTGTACAAAGTATTTAATTAATATTGGATGCAGTTAATATATTTTATGTAGTTTTATAAAAAAAAGATTAGTAACCAAATTCTAAAAGTAGTATTTAGCAGAACTGCCAAGTGTGTGAAATATTTTTTAATGATGTTTTTAGTATTTCCCAAGCATTTTTTACATATATCTAAGCTGTCACCTTTTTGCTTCAATTGACAATTTTTAAAAATATTTATTTTTATGCAGGAGGGTTTTATTTTCTATCACTACTCCTGCTGTACAATTTTCTGAAAATATTTATTACTTTTCTAACATATTTTAAAATTTTTTTTAATTTGAAACTTAAATTGCTGTATGCATATATTAGCTGCATGTTTGTATAATCCAATCTTTATTTTTGAAACAGTATAAATGACAAAAAAAAAAAAAGTTTTAGGGTTGTGTCAAGGGACGAGAGTAGAGAAAGGAATATGCAATATATGACAGCAAATTCCAAATAAAGGGTTGAGTGGATGACTAAGTCTTACTTCTGAGTATCTGCTCAGTGAGCATAAAAATGAGATGGAATTACACAGTAAAACTGCAAGTAGCATTGTGCTTCATAAGCAGTTTCATTCTGCTGAAGAAAATTAGATCGAGCAGCAAGAAAAAAGGCCATTAATAGGGTAAGGTTGCTCAAGGCGTACCCCTTAAAAAAAACCTGCATAACAATGAGTATTTAGCAAATATGTAAAAATTATATTTGCTATTCGATGCTAGTGTAAATATTGTTTTTATTTATTAGAACGAATCTAAAAAATCTTTGTGTTGTCATGTAAATTAATCTAAATTTTAAAAAAAGTTGCAAAGGTACGACTTACAAAACCAGTGTCCTAAGTGGTACCACCTATGGCTTAAGTCGTCTAGAGTTGTATTGCCTTTCTTCTTTTTAATCTGTAATGTTGTTTCCTGTTTAATGATTGCATCTTTCTTTTTTTTTCATTGCATTTTTTACATTTTCTTTATTCACACTTGACGTTATTTCGACTGCTGGGGTTACGCTTCTACGGTTTCCGGTTATCATATTTGGAATCAGACATAATGCATCTAACTGCTGTTTATATGGTTTGAAGTTGAAGGAATTGTGATAAGATCCAGTTGCTTCTTCTTCTTGGGTTTTTTGTTGTTGTTTCTTGTGCTGGATGAGTTTCATTACTCACAACTTGATCTGCATTTGTGCGCAAAGACTCTTCAATCATTGAATCTTTCATTGGAGTGCAAAAATCTTCATCCTGAAATTTAAATCAGTTGCATAGCCAAACACCGGTAGATTTAAAGCCATTCAAAGCAATATCCATATGAACAAATTTTGTGTATACAATTCCCAATAGTTCTGACACAGTACTTTGTTTAATTATGTTGCCGGGATTTGTTCTTAACCAAGCAGATGATGCTTCGTTATAATTGGCTTTGAGAGATTTGAAAAAAGATTTGTCCAAATGTTGAAGATGATGTGTTGTGTGTGCAGGAAAAAATAGCATAATAATGCCATATTCACACGCTAGATCGATAGCTTCGATATTTTTTTTATGCGTGGAGTGCCCATCCAAAAGAAGTAGTAATTTCTTTTCATTACTTTTTTCCAACTTGATGTATTTGATGAAATGCTTGAACCATTCAACAAAAAGCTCTGATGTTATCCATCCATTTTTAGAACATCTGAACACCGTTCCTGGTGGTACTCCTTTTTTTTAAGCACTCGTTCATCCGTGCACGTTTAAATATTACCATAGGCGGCATGAAGTCACCTGCCGCATTCATACAACATATACATGTAGTAGTCACACCCCATTCACCACTTGTAATTTCCCCAACTTGGTGTTTGCCTTTTTTAGAAATTATTTTAGATGGTTTGTGTGTAGTGGATAATCCTGTTTCATCAACATTATAAATCTGGTTTGCATTGAAACTATATTTATCTAATATTGATTCATATTTATCAAAGAATTTATAAACTAATCCTTTTTGAAAGCTTTAGCCCTGGCCATTGATGTTGCTTCTGGAGTACGTAAGGATAAGCAAGGATTATCTTTCATAAATTTATAGTACCGCTTCTTCCATGCAGTTTCTTTTCCTCTGTTAAAATGGTGTGGTAAATTATATTTTTCAGCGAGCTGATAGGCAAGTTTTCTTAGATCAGTTGCAGTAAGCCCAAAAAAAGCTTGCTTCTAACTTGAGTGAGTGTGAAACCAACTCCCGTTCCATAGTATTGCTCAAATCCTTGGGCCTTCCGAATTTGACGTGCCTATTTAATACTTGAAAATGACATCGTAGCATTGGTTTTGGGATCCCATATTTTCTGTGAGCTTCATTAAATCCAATAACACCTTGCGATAATTTGGTATCTTCCATGTCTTCCTTTTTCCAACGATTATAAACTTGTTTTGACATAATGGTCTATCAAATTTTTAAAAAAAAATCTAAAATCAAAAACAGAAAAGAAAGAAGAAGGTAAAAAATCGGTTGAAATAAGAATTTCTAAAGCCTGCGTCTCACACACCAGTATGACTAAAGACACTAACTACATAAGTCATTACTAATATTAATATAACCTCACACTGATTGATCGTAATGCATGTTAATTTCACTCAAATGATTCTATAATAGTTACCAAACTTACAGTACTATCTACAAAGCTCCAAAAACAATAAATACTTACAAGATTAACTATCACAGATATGTAGAATATTATACGAAAACAGCGACGAACTTCTTAATACGAATATCTCATAGTAGAAAGCATGATAAATCATAATAAAACGTTCAGACTGCACGTGGCACTATCTACATCCTATCGTGGCACCACTACAGCTGTAGCAGCCATAATATTCCAAATATAGAGCAGGTACGATTTGAGCAACCGTACCCTAAGTTTTTTATATGTATGAAAAAACTGACAGCAATGGATTCAAACTGTGGATGTTCTCAATAAAAACATAAAATCAGCATTTAATTTGGTAGAAGACATCAAAATATCCCAAATTAGAAGCAACTCTTTTTTAAATGCTTCAGTGTGAAAGTCAAAATGTTGCTCAAAATATGAAAACCCCCAAAAGTAAATTTAAGGCAAGTTATGGTTGGGTAAAATATTTCATGATGCAACATGAGCTCTTGATTTGTTGTGGAATGTCATTGGTGCAGCTGCTTCTTGACACATACAAAAGAAATTGCTCATATTTCCAAAATGTGCTTTAAAATTTTTAATTTTTTTAAAATTATTCATTATTTTGAATATAGACCACATTCTAATTTTGGTAAAAAATTTACTTGAGTAAAAACATGTAGCTTTTATTTGCATAAATATTGTGTTCTAGTACCCCGTGAAACTGTTTGCACTTATAAGCAAGGAATATGTGGACCTTTTCATATTGTATTATATTATAATAAATGTATTTTAGTATATTTTTATGATTAATGCAGAAAGCACTAAAAAGTTATTTTAAAAAGTTATTTTTAGTGCTAGTTTTAAGTTACAGCTGGCAAGTATGTTTTGTAGCATACATTTGTACATGAAATTCTTCTCGAACAGTACATGTAATCAATAATTTTGCTTTTAAAATCAAAACGTTTGAGCAGAGATAAATTTTTACTTACATAATGTTTTTCTGCTATTAAATATAGTTTACAAACTTATATTTTTCATGAAATACAAAATTCATGAGTAGTGTTTTTAATTTAAATTAGATCTTGCTCAAGGTTTTAATTTTTTAATTTTAAGTAGAGCTGGCAAGATAATAAAAATGGAACTTTCTTTCATCCCTCCATTCTGTTTTTTTAATATTTAAAAAAAGGGGAGGGAAGAAAGAAAGTTTTGAAAAATTGGAGTGTAAAATACTTGTAAAACTGTATTGCAGTATGTACATCACAATGAAGACATGATAAAAAATAATAAAATTGTTATTTATATGTATATAGATAAATTAACAGAGAGCAGTATAAAAAATCATGTGATTATACTGAAAAGTAAAATTTAGCAAAATTTTAAAATTCTTTGTTTATGTATGTATCAAGTGTTTAATTTATTGAAGTAACATAAGCCTGAAATATGACTAATGTAAAAATAAGTTCTGGTAAAAGTGGTGCAAACTTAGGTGTTATAATTGCAACAAGAGCAAAAACATTAATTCAGAAACTAAGAAAAGTAAAAGTTATTCTGTAAGCTCTGTTAAAGCAACATGAAAACTTGTAACATAAAAATGGTGTTTTGATTCTGGAGCTTCTTTGCACATGTGTAACAATTACAGAAATTTCTCATCAATAGCTGAAGTAGCAAGTAAATTTCAGTTAGCAAATTATGAACTTACAGATATTAAAGACAAAGTTGAATTTTATGTAATTGTTAATTCTGTGCCACTAAAAGCAGTTTTGAACAATATATTATAGTTTTTTTAACTGAAAATGGATGTAATTTCAGTTATCTCTGCAGTGCAGCATACATGTAATGTTTATTTCAGAAATATCTGTCCATGAATTAAAAATTGAGAAATTGCATAAAATTGAACTATACTGTAATGAAAAATTATAAACTATGGTATTATCTATGGTACAGTTAAAATGATAAGTAGAACTGTACCATGGGAAGTACATAGCACAATGCATAATAGGAGTGATGGTCATACGGTGAACCTTGCTGTTAGCTCATTTTAGCTACCATTGTCATATCATGGTGACATGTAGTGTCATGAGACTTTTAGTCTCCTTGAAGGTAATAAATGAATTTGGGGGTGTGAGGTCTATTGTATAGAAGCTGAACATCATACCATCAGGCAAAAGTGCGTTTCAATTTGTCCTGTCAGTATTTAATCTGTTTTGTGGTAGACTATCCTTGCTTATCATCAAGTTTACTAAACAGTGCCCCGGTAGCATTTTTAATGTGATACTAGGGGGCACAGCTGGTCATCATGATTAAATGCATGGAGGTAAGAATAAAAGTAGACCCACATCGCCACACTAAACCTGATACAGCTTGGCAGAACTGTATCAGAAAGGAGGTGCATTTTGTTTATATCCAGAGCATGTTACCTTGACAGCAGTTTGGTAATATATCTACACATAAATGAAAAATCTTTGTTATTCAATGCATATACTGCTGAATAAAACATAATCAATTTTGATTTCTTAATACCTAATAAAAGGAAAAGAGACTGAATGGTGGTCTGCTATTTTTAAAACAGTTGCAAGACTTCAAGGCATGAAAAAAACAGCAATATTAGTAATTGGTATACCAATACATTTTGCATAATGTTACCTTTTGAATTACTTTACAATAAGTAAATTTGAGGTATTAGTGAATTTAGATCAATTAGTTGTTTTAATAAATGAAGTATTATTGGTATGTAGAGTAAGGTAATCAAAACTGTGTTCTGATGACAGTGAGGTTAATGTTTAAATGTGAAACAGAAAGTAATTTTTATATTATCAGAGGCTAAAATTAATTGCTAAAAGAGGTATTGAATGCTCTGCCAAAATATATATGCAGTCAAAAGTTGTTAATCCGGACTTGTCGGGACTTCGGCGATTCCGGATTATAGATTTTTCCAGATTATAGATCATCAGTTTAAATCTGGTAATATGGCATGCAGAAATTATAAAATTAAACAATATGAAACGTATTTTATCAATAAGACAATTATGATCTAAGGTATCAAATTTACAAAAAGGAAGCTTAATCTTATTGTTTATTTATAAAATTTTTCAATGTAATTTGTTTAAGGTGCTTTTTTATGTGCTAATACTTTCTCTTTATCTATAAACCATAATTCTGTTAGTTACAAAGTTCTGCTGTTCAAGTCCAATATGCTAAGTCGAGAAGACGCTATTGTCAATCAAATTTTTCGGTTCAATACCTTGTCACTTTCTTCGCTATCGGCGAATTAATGACAGATTGATTTAAAATCATTCAAAGATGGAGTACATCGAGATAAATACTACTTCGTAAGGACTTATAGCCAAATAAAATAAAAAAATTGCCCTGACGATAAGGATAGTGCTGAATATCAACTTCCAATCATGCGCTGGTGCCCATCGGAAAAGATAAACAAATTGATAAACAACGTTAAAGTAGATAAACAGGACATGCCGTATCCATTTTTGCAGCATTCACTTTTTTTATGGACTTCGAAACAACTTCGCTTTGTAGATCTTTAATATTAGTAAATATATATAGAATTCTATTTGACATAACGAAAGTCAAGGTACTTTTATAAAATGCTCTACAGAAAAAATAAGCGAATCCCATTCGACA